AAAATAATTATATCCAAATAATTCATTCATAAATTAAAAATAACCAATTATACTATTATACCTTTTAAAAACAACTACAAAGGAGTTTCATATAGTGAAAGAAGCGCAAAAACATTCATTGTCTACACTATTATATAAGTCTTTTTCAATGTATCTTACTAAACAAGTATTAGCAAACTGGTCGCCAAATCGACTTGGAAACTTGTTCTTAATATAACTTAAAACTGAAAATGCTCTTTTTACAATTGCTGTTGTAATTGGTAGATCAAAACTAGTGGGATTGGCATTGTCGCTAGACAATTTCAGGGTTGTTGGGGACAAATCGAATTAATAGCATAAGGAGAAAAGAGACCCGATTAGTTCTTTATTGCAATTGGAATTTCGTTTATTGTATAACAAATTAATTTTATGTCAATTTTGGACAAGTAATGAGTTGTGTTGTAGTGACAAAATACTCTAATACTACCTATACGTGTTGTGTTCCATCACCAATATAAATATATATGACGTATTTTTGTTCCACCGAAATTTACCCCTGTCCCAGGACAAGGCCAAACGGCCTTGCCTCCGCCACTGTATTTTATACGCCTGGCGTCTGGCGATCAAACTAGACTTTACCAACAGAAATCGAAATGGTCTCTTTCCGGGCTGTGGAGACGTACTGCAAAGACACAACAATTATTTAATAGATGTGGTTGTAATTTTAATTATCATTAATCATTAATTTATTCATAATTAATTTTTAAATGTTATCACAGGCATACCTCATACGTCAGGTATACGCTAACTTTGCCATATATATATATATATTAATAATGTTTTCGTACGGACTGCGACATTGAAAGTAGGGTGTCTGGCTTTTATGGTGACTTTCCTATTACCATCGTGAGTTTGGAAGAAGCGAACAAGTTCATGATGACCTATCTAAATACTACCAGGTGTTATAAACGCGCTGCTACGGATCGGGAAATCGCCGAAATCGAGAAAGTAAGAATACGAAAGCGAGAATCGAAAACACGGCACACGATGTGTGTTAGCTAGTCTACGGGCGAGAGAGAGAGCCAGTTTCACAATATCTAGGTGATTACATGTTACAGAGGAGATGAAAAGTATTTATACTTCTCCATGTGAGTCTAAACGATTCAAGTCACATCAACACGGTAATTAATTAGAAACCGATAGACCATTATAATTAAGAAACTAAAAGTTGTTCAATTTATTTAATTTATGCAGGAACCCATAGGAACAATCCTTGGAACAGTGACGGTTGGGCACCAGAAGCCAGCTCCAGAAGTGGCCTTCTTCTCTTCAAGGGGGCCATCCATGGTCTCGGGAAACATAATCAAGGCAAGTTTCAGTTTATTTAATTTCTTTTCATTTTGGTTTGGTTTGGTTGTGAAGATTTATTTATTTCAATGGCTGATATATTGGGGTGGCTATTTTGGCCAACAGGCAACAATTCCGTAGCGACGCAAATAGGAAGAGCTCCGTCGAGCTATTATATAATCTCGGGAACGTGGGTGGCGTGTCTGTAGAAACCAGACTTGCTGCAAACTGACAGTTTATTTATAAAGCTGTAAAACAGTATATATACACAACGAGGACTCTATCTCAATACTAAACCCGACCCGTCCACTCACAACTATCAGCTCACCCACGTTCCTTGATTTCAGCTTCTCTATCTAACAAACTAAAACTAAAACAACAAAGATGCTATGGCTTGAAAGCCACTAAACAGGACACAACTAGCTTAAACAGCAGAACTAATTAACCACAGCTTAAAACCCAAAACGATCGACCCTCACTAGAACTCACATGATCACTCACGTGATTACTTATTCAACAATGTGAAGTTTCAGTTTCGAACTTCAGTTTAATCTGCAGCAGCTGTTTTAGAAACACCAATAGCAGCTGCAATTTCAGAAACTTCATCAGGCAACTCACATATTCTAGGCTTCCATCACAGCTCTTCAAACGCTTCCAACTTGACTGCCTTTTCAAGATATGAACACCTTATTTAGAGCACCAGGATGCTCAAGTTGCACAAATCTTTCCTTATCTGAGCTCCTTAGAAATTGGAGATTTGCATCGATACATCCGCTTTCTTCATTCAAAACATGGCTGTGAATTTCTATGCCTCCCCTCACACCAGCTTTCCATTTCATCTCTTCTGGAACTCTTTGAAGCCAAATGCTCTGAGTAGTACAGTCAAAGTTTCCAACAAGTTCACCCTCAAAACATTCTTTAAATTCCTCAAATGTATGTTTAATATCGCCAGTCTTCATCACGTCAAAGTAAGCAGCAAAGTAAGATCTAGCTGTAATCAACACAGCAACTGCGAAAATGGCTTTTAGACTGACCAAACAAACGGTAAGCCAAGCATAATAACTGTCCTTTTTGGCCTCCTTCATACTGAATACTAGAGACCATGATGTTTTTGAACGTTGTCTTGACCACCAACACGTGAAGACTGATTTGACCATACAACTTAGTAATGGTTGATCTATCCATGTACATGCTAAGAGAATAAAGCAAGCTACCAACCATTTGCATGAATTCTGTAGCATTCCCCAACAACCTAGCTCCTAACACCATGTTGTACTTCTTCTTTTCTTCCCTTGCAACCTCGGAATCCTGTGGTTGCTTCACTTCAGTCTTTTTCTTTACACTTACCCCTTTAGCTCCTAAAACAGGATAAATGAGCTGCCACTTTCTGCTGGTTTTGGATGCCAATGAACTCACATCATGAATTCCAAGCACATATGTCTCCACTAGAACTTCTTCTTCTTCTTTTTGAGATAAAATTGCACTAAATTGAGGTGCATCTACTTTCCCACGAGTTAATTCTTCTGCATATAGACAGGTAAGACAACTGTCTATAGTTTTTGACAACTGAGGATGTTGGCCTTGCTCCACATTCTTCTGTTTGAGTACCCAGCTACTTACAACTTCCTTCTTCTCAGATAGCATGTTCTTATTTTCCTCCCCTGCAACCACAAGGAATTGTGGCTGCTTTGCATAAACATTCATAATCAGTTCACTATATAAACTGGAACTCTTATCATACTGTAATTCCATATTTATTGCTTCCCTATGTCTCTGTTCTTTCCCACCTTGTTTAAGAGACCAAGAACCTCCATCTTCTACCATCATACCATCAGACATCAGCACTACATTGTTGCCACTATGATTATCCATCCACTCTAAATCAGTAGCTGGTAGACCTGGACTGTTAGTGTCCAACATTTCCTCATTCTCCTGGTGATAATAAGCATTGGAACAGACTGGAGATCCAGCACAAGTTGTTGGAGTGACAACAACAGTGTTGAGGTTTCTGTCTCCTACTACAACTACTGGAACTCTATCTGGTTCTGATGCTTCAGACTCTTTACCAAACTCATTTTCCTTACACTCATCCCAAATTAAATTAGGAAGACCTGGTTTGATTTCTAACTTAATAGCTGGCAGAGTAACACATAATTTTCTACTTAAATCATCATTGAAGGTGGAAAGTTACCTTTTATTTCTATGTTGCTTCTTAAACAAATGAGAAGGACATATTGATGTGCTGACTTTCACGTGAGATAAGGCATGCATCATTCGCTTTCTTTGCATTTTCTTTGGTTCACCATCCCTTGAATGCCTAGATCTTCCATGCCAACGATTTAGATTTTTTACTTCAGCTTGAGTTGTAAGGTATTGCCCCGCCTTACCAGCACAATCATTCATGTGATTGTTGCATCAGGGATCTAGATTAGACCTCCAATAACATCCATTCTGATTGGTCTACAAGGTAGCTATCTGTATATGGAACCTCTCGTCATCCTCACTTTCAGTATACGCCATTAGTGATACATACTCCTTCATGTCTCCATGAGCATCTTTGTCATTAGCTACAAGTGCACTCGATAAATATGTTCGCTGATTATGCCATTCTGGACACTCGTTTTTTATATGTCCCATCTTGTGACACTTATAACATTCAACTCTTTCTCTATTCCATGATCTTCCAGCTCTTTCTCTGCCTTTTCTTTGATAGCTATCTCGACCACTTATTCAACCAGAATCATGATTAATCATTAAACCTTGATCACCCTCTACTGCAGACATTTTGTTGAATTTCTACTCATGTACTAGCAAAGAGCTCTGAAGAGCATCGACTGATAAAGTATCAATATCTTTAGACTCCTCAATTGCGCAGACTATATAATTGAACTTCTCAGTTACTGTTCTCAAAAAAATTTCAACAGTATTGACATCATGCATAGATTCCCCACAATTCCTCGTGTTGTTTGCTACCACCATCACCCTGCCAAACTACTCATTTAGTGTTTCCCACTTCTTCATCTCCAAAAGCTCAAAATCCCTTCTTAGAGACTGTAACTTAGCCTTTAGAACCCTAGAGCTACCGTGGTATTTGATTTTCATCGAGTACTATAAGCCCTTCGCAGTATTCTTCTCTGTAATGGTCTTCAAAATGGCTTTGTCGATTGACGCAAAGAGATAGTTCTTAGATTTAAGGTCTTTCAACCTCAAATCGTCTCGAGTTTTCGTCTGAAGTGTAGAAAGCATTGCTCCATATGCTGGTTCTGTAAAGCCATCACTCACTACTCCCCAATATTCCTCGGATTGAAGTAGAATTTCCATCAAAAGGCTCCAGTAATCATAATCCCCGTCAATCTTTGGGATACAAATTTGAATGAACTCACAGATGGCACCCATGATATCAACACACAACTCACATGTCTCACAATAATGTTAAATCACACCAAACTTCTCGTGTTTCACTCACACACAGAAGCAATCCTCACAATCAATCACTTGTGTTTCCCAATCCCAGTCTGTAAAACACAGACTTTCAATTACACTTATAGAAATCGTGGTTACAGTTTGCTATTGGCTCTGATACCACATGTAGAAACCAAACTTGTTGCAAACTAGCAGTTATTTAGAAAGCTGTAAAACAGTATATATACACAACGAGGACTCTATCTCGGTACTAAACCCGACCCGTCCACTCACAACTACCAGCTCACCCACGTCCCTTGATTTAAGCTTCTCTATCTAACAAACTAAAACTAAAACAACAAAGTTGCCATGACTTGAAAGCAACTGAATATGACACTACTAGCTTAAACGGCAGAACTAATTAACCACAGGTTAAAACCCAAAACGACCGACCCTCACTAGAACTCACATGATCACTCACGTAATTACTTATTCAACAGTGTCCAACGTCTCTGGTGTGGCGGCCAATGTAAGGTTTGTCATTCCCTTCCTCAGCGATGCGGGCGTCAAGTCGGCCATAATGACCACAGGTGATGGATGATTTTGGTGTCATGATTTTTCGTATATATTAATTTTATTATCAATAATCACTGATCATGTCACCACCCAACTTTGTAGGTACTATATACAACGTAAATAATTTAGTCTTGGTTGTGTCTGATCAATGCATCAGTGGTGTCCACCAACAACTTGGAGACGCCCATCGCGCCGGACCAAGGCGACTCGACCACCCCCTACGACGTCGGTGCTGTCATCCTCCAGCCAACAAGAGCCCTAAGACCAGGTCTCATCTACGAGACCACGGGCGAGGAGTTCCTCCACTTCTTGTGCTGCCACAGATACAACACAACCACCGTCAAGTCCATCTCGAGGACAGCCGCACGAAGCTTCCGATGCCCGGCCGGGGGTGCCAACCATGACCATATCTCTTCCCTCAACTACCACTCCATCTCGGTGAGGCTAAGTCAGATGAGGGGAGGAGGACCATCCCCCGGCGCGTGACCAACGTGGCCACGTGGCCGCTACAACTGGAAATGAACCGCCATCTGGGTGTACCAAGGGTATGTTGTGCTGGACGACGAAGGCGGCAGTGTGGTGTCGAGGTTGTTCTGAGGGTTCTCAAGTTTGTCTAACAAGGGGAGACCAAGGGATTTCAAGTCATCTTCCAGAGAAACAGGAATGTTGGGGAGAGGAAGACCATGACCGGGTGGGTGAAGTTGACCAACCGTCACTTCATGGTTCGGTCGGTCTTTGTGGCAGAGGTGGTCTGAAGAAGAAAATGCATGGTCGGGCAAGAAGAAGGGAGCAGAACAAGTGCAGTTAACGTCTCCAGTGTGGCGGCTATCGTAAGGTCTATCGTTCGCGGCCGTCGAGTCGTCCATAATGACCCACACGTGATGGATGATTTTGGTATCATGTTTTTTCGTATATATTAATTTTATTATCATTCATCAATGATCACGACATTATCCACCTTTACGTACTTTATAAAATTTAACTAATTTAGTCTTGGTTGTATCTGATCTATTCATTAGTGGTGTCAACCAACAACTTGGGGATGCCCATCACCACCGACCAAGGCAACTCGGCCACCCCCTACGACGTTGGCGTCGGCATCCTCCAGCCTACAAAAGCCTTGAGACCGAGTCTCATCTACAAGACCATGGCTAAGGAGTTCCTCCATTTCCTGTGCTACCACGGATACAAAGAACCACCGTCATGTCCATATCGAGGACAGCCTAACGAAGATTCTATTGCACGACCGGGGGCGCCAACCGCGATCTTATCTCTTCCGTCAACTACCCCTTCATCACGGTGAGGTTGAGTCCAGTGGCGGATCCAGGGCTGGGCCAACCCAGGCCCCGGCCCAGCCCTCTTCCGGATGCAGAGTTAGTTTAGTGCTTATAAAATTTTTGATTTAGGTATTTGGTCCAGTGCTATTTAAAATTCTGTTTAGTTTTATTTGATAATAGAATTTGTGTAACTAGGAAAATGGCTCAGATGAATATATCCAAACCATTACTCTAAATTTATACTAAATTTTCTATAGCCCCAATGATTTTATTTGAAAAAAGACATGAAAACCTAAAAGTGTAAAGTTTCATTAAAAAAAACTCTAAACTAAAGCACATCCTTCCTTGCAAAATTCAAAAAATTTCCCAATCCCCCCAAAAAAAAACAGGAACGAGGAGACCAGCAGATCCAAAATGGATTTCTCCTCCAGCCCGTCGAGCTGGTTTTCTTTTCATTCTTTTGATTAAGAAAATATTTACATACTTGCTGAGTCATCATTTAGATTGCCTCAATTGAGTGGGGCACTAGATTCTAACCGTTCTTTCTGGTGTTTTGATGAAGAAAATATTTACAAACTTGCTCAAGAGTTTAGCCTCGAGACTTTGAAGGCTATGAGATGCATTCTTCTGTGAGGATGAAGTTTCTTCTCTTGCAAAATTATTAGAGAAGCTGGAGGAAATAGGGATGGACACATAATACAAATTGATTTGTCGGTTTATTTGTCTAGTGTTGACCTAGCCGTTTCAACAACTACCATGAAGAGAATATTTTCAGCAATGGAACATGAATATTGATTTGTGCAACAAAATGAGCGATAAATTTCTCGTTGATTACTTAGCTATTTTCTTTGAAAAAGAGTATATTATCTGTATGGATGGAGATTATATTATTGATGAATTTGCTAAATTAAAATACCTTCTTGTACAAATGGCATTGTAATGAAAACTATATTATTATATATTTTTATTTATGGTATCTAATATTCTATTCAAATACGGCCCAGTGTTCTTTTATGTCCTGGATCCGCCGCTGGTTGAGTCGGATGGGGATCTAAGAAGGACAAGAAGAAGATAATGCATGGTTGGGAAAGAAGAAGAAGAAAAGGAGCGGAACAAGTGCAATTAACGTCTCCGGTGTGGCGCTAACATACGGTCTGCCGATCGCGGGCATCAAGGCGGCAATAATGACCACAAGAAATGGATGATTTTGGTATCATGAATTTTCGAAAATAATAATTTTATTATCATTCCTCACTGATTACGACACCACAAAACTTTGTACGTACTATATACAACATAACTAATTTAGTCTTGGTTGTGTCTGAACTATGAATCAGCAGTGTCCACCAACAACTTGGGGACGCCCATCAAAACCGACTAAGGCGACTCGGCCACCCCCTACGACGTTTGCGCCGGCATCCTCCAACCAACAAGAGCCTTGAGACCTGCTCTCATCTACGAGATCACAGCCGAGGAGTTCCTCCACTTCCTGTGCTACTGCGGATACAACACAACCACTGTCAAGTCCATCTCGAGTACAGTCGCACTAAGATTTCGTTGCGCGACCATGGGTGCCAACCGCAACCTTATCTCTTCCATCAATTGCCCATCATCCATCTCGATGAGGTTGAGTCGGATGGTGGGGGGGGGGGGGGGGGGGGGAGGACGATCCCCCACCGCCTAACCTAGGTGGCAACTACAATTGGAATTGCCAGCGCCGCCTGGGTGTACCAAGGGTTTGTTGGGTTGGACAGCGAAGGCGGCAGTGTGGTGGTCGTGGTTGTTCCTAGGGTTCTCAGGTTTGTCAAACAAGGGGAGACTAAGGGATTTCACTTTACAGTTCGCTCGGTCTTTGTGGCGTAGGTGGTCTGAAGAAGAACGAGAAGAAGATAATGCATAATCGGGCAAGAAGAAGAAGAAGGGAGCGGAACAAGTGCAGTTAACGTCTCCGGTGTGGCGGCTAACGTCAGGTCTGTCATTCGCGGGCATCAAGTCGGCCATAATGACCACAAGTGATGGATGATTTTGGTATCATGATTTTTCGTATATATTAATTTTATTATCATTCATCACATATCACAACACCTCCCCCCTCCCCCCCCCCCCAACTTTGTAAGTACTATATACAACTCAACTAGTTTAGTCTTCGTTGTGTCTGATCTATGCATCAGCGGTGTCCACCAACAACTTGGGGATGCCCATCACCACAGACCATAGTGACTCAGCTACCCCCTACAACGTCGGCACCGACATTCTCCAGCCAACAAGATCCCTGAGACTGGGTCTCATCGACGAGACCACAACCAAGGAGTTCCTCCACTTCTTGTGCTACCACAGATACAACACAACCACCATCAAATCCATCTCTAGGAAAGTCGCACGAATCTTTTGTTGCCCGGCCAGGAGTTTGAATGGGAATGAGGATGTCGTCGGCTCGACGCCGACAATTGGAGGGTGGCGACAGACTTCAACGTGGAAATGAATAACTAAACTAGAAAGGAAGTTGGAAATTAACTTAAAGAAAATTTTATGGAAGATTCTATGGGGAAAGACAGTATGGAATTCACTATCTAGTTACTTGACTCAACCAGCTTATTAATAAATTTAATTCTCATTCAAATTATCGAGATTATCTCTAAAGTGATAGCGATCTTTCTGAATGCTCATTATGTACTAAGTAGTTAATTATTTATTTATTCTTGTATATCAAACTAATTAACTACCTAAACTGGAGTCCAATAACTCATATATATACATATTTTAATAACATTATGACAACAAAAATTTTGTAATGTAATAAGGTGTTTCAGTTAAAATTATTGTAGGTGTGTCATAGGTCCCGTGTTCGACTTTTTTACACCGAAAAAATGTGGGTTCATTACAAAAAAATTTGGTCCGACGCACCTTCATTAAATGTGGGTCCACCCCTCCTTGGTATGCATGTTATATAAAATTTTTATGTTATATAACATAATATTTTTATATTTAATATTTTGAATTAATATATTTTAAGATTAAGATTTGGTAAATATTTATAAGGAGAACATATGAAATTAATAAATTATTAGTATCTGGAACACTTTTCCTTGTTGGTACTCCCCTCCCACCCAAGAATTTCTCCGATAGGAGGGTGAGGCAGTGAGATTTTCTATTTTTCTGGGACAATAAATAACTAATCGATATTTTAGTAGATAATGAACAAGTGGCGTTATAAGATTGGCCGCGAGTACCACATCACTAATCCTACGTGGTACTCCCGGTGTACCCAATAATTTATCGTCGAGTATATATAGTTTATGATGGGTTCTCGCCTGATCCCAACCACCCAACATTCCCCATTTCCTCGACACAGAAAAAGAAGAAGAAAAATGAGTTCTTGCTTTTGCCTCTTGTTGATCCTACTATTCGCAACGGGGGCATCAGAGCTTCCCGCTTACGTGGTCTACACTGGTGGGGCGAGCCCGACCAACCTGGCACTCAAAGAACCGCTCATCAACACCATGAGCGAGGAGCTGCCGAGGACATACATGCATAGCTTCTTCGAGTTAATAGTATTGTTTTTGTCGCATTGGTATTAATTTTGTTGCATTTGTATGTTTTTGTACCATTGGTATTGATTATCATGTAATGGTATTAATTTGCATGTATTGGTATTGATTAAATCTGCAATGGTATTGGTTTTTTGTGAAATGGTATAGATTTATATTGGTAGTTTTTGTGCAATGGTATTGATGTTTTTCACAGTGGTAGTGGTTGTCTAATAGATTGGTAGTGATTTCGTGTTTTTTTCTTTTGCGGAAAGATTGAGAAATTAAGGAAAGGAGATCTAGCAGGAAATTATGGAAGTGAGAGAAAGAGAGAGAATTGTAATTAATAGATTTTTGTAACTACTTAAAATGTAATTTATTAAAAAAATTAATTAATGCAATTTATTTTTCATACCCAATTTAACCTTAGTAACCATGGTGATTACTACTTTTGTAGTAATCATCGTAACCTGTCCCCTCCTTTATCATACACCCCCTCATTTTCTATTAATAGCACCAAGCCCCTCTGGTTCTCTAGTTTTAGATAAATGGATACATGATTTTTCTTATAAAACCTCTGACAAAATCCAAAATTGATTTTCTACTGTCTTTCCAAAGAAAATTCGAGTAACTATGGTTCTCGCCAATTCACCGCGTTCGTTGGTTTACAAGGTTTGAGATACAACTATGCCGACAAAGTTACATCCTTTCTATCATGTAAGGAATCCATTTGTAACCATAATATAAGGGAATGAGATATCTTAAAAAGACAGTATATCAACTAGAACAATTGCATGTGTTTGCTTGATTTCATAATATTTTATATTACTTGTGTTATACATGAACATTTCCATAATAATATCAAGAAACAAACAAAGGTTCGCTTTTTGGTTTCTCTAACACGATTCCATTATTTATGTTTTGCAAATACATTTCAAAACTCATATTTATTTAACTCCCCTATATTAGTTTTTATCTTATGCTCAGGAAAGTAGTAGTACAGGGTAATTCCCACCCAGCATAAACTTGATTAGATGTAGATGTGGTGTCAAGTTATTTCCACGCATAACTTGATCGCGATATCCTTAATCACAGTACAATCTATCCAATTTTCCGTATATTTTGTAAATAACAGGCGATATAATGCAATCATTATTCAAAGCTAAAACAACCCAAAATAAATTGTAATAGAGTGATAAAATCCATAAACAGAACAACTAATCTAGACTCTAGAGCCTTCACTGATCGACTAACTGAACCTTTATTAATCTTTTCATTGACTAGGTAGCTATCTATATTCCCTATTGTTGATCTATTAAACAACAAAGCAGGAACAAAAGATATAATATACCAAAAAATAACTTGTAACTACTAGACAATTGATAATTGGAGTCTGCCAATTCATTTATTTAGTTGCAAGGAAATTGGTCTATCTCGTTAGTTTAATTTTGCATCTGCTTGTGGTGGATCAAAAAGAACGTAGCAAGGGGCATAGCATGCACAAGACTTGTGCTCACATTGCCCAGCAACAACTAGTCCAATACCTCCGAACTTGTTTCTGCATGCGTTATCACATACTGAGTCATTGCAATAACCACCTCGGATGTGCAAAAACTTTTGAGGAAAAGAAGCGAATCTGTCGCAAAACTCTGTCCCCCGCCCTAATTTATGACGCTGGAATGCAACGATCGTGTTCCCTAATTTTCATTAACAAACATTAATCACTTAACAAATCAAAATACGTTGATTAATTGTTAACAGAAGGTACATTTATGCTAAATACATCCAAATGAAAATCGCGATATGAAACCATACAAATATAGATAATTACCATGGAAGAGACAAATTAGCAGAAGAATGAAAATAATTGATGATGATGATCTTTTCGCCATGGTTGAATTCTCGCTTTTTTTTTTCTAGTAACTTTTTGATGGAAATAACGTCATATACTAATAACTAGAACACCCATTATTATACATGTTTATATAAGGGGTTTGAATAAATTACTTTCTAGATTTATTTAAATTCTCCATGATTATAGGCAAGAAACAAATTCTTTTTGATAAATTCTTATTGCAACCGTATGGTTATTGCAGTTCACAACTCTCGGTCATTTTTTTATTATTTGACTGATGGCTTTTCAAACACTATATTTTTTCCTTTTTAATTGCCTTTTCTCTAGTTTTCAGTTAATTCAGCCAATAATTTCGATCTTTAATGAATATATCTTTGTTTGGTAATAGTTTATCGCCTTATCCATATCTCCCCAAGAAGAACTAGTTTTTTACCCGCTCGTTGGGCGGTGTATTTTGTTTGGTTATTTTATAATTCGTTATAGTATTCTAATTATTATTATTATTTATGTTTGTTAAGGTAATATATATGGAATTGTAAATATCACTTACCTTATTTCAGGTATTGTTTCATACTTTTATACCTTTTGTTTATTTGTGGACATTTTAATTTTATTAACTGAGCTCTTTGTAGATTATTCTTTATTGATTTAGAATTTTTTTATCGAACTCGCCCTTTAAGATTATAAACATAAGAGTTATTCATTCTTTAGCACACAATTGTGATAAAGAAGTTAAAAAATTTACAGCCACAAAAGAAAAAGTTAGAATAAGAAAATATGCTTCAATTAATAAAAAAAATAAGTAAAGAGCTTTTCATTTTCTATCCCTTCTCATGTCGTGTATTATCACTTACACATACAACTTTGGAATAATGAGGAAACTCATTAGCATCCACGTCCATCAATCTTCCACGTACTCGTTTAATTACTTTGAAATGTTCTAGAAAACCAACCACAAACAAAACTATCAGCTGTCACAAACTTATTAAAGAAATATTTTTAGCAAATTAAAATGCATATACTTAAATACAATTTATATTTTGTAGAGAACTACATATCTCCTGTAGAAAAGAATTGTGATTTTTACCTAATAACAACATAGAAAAATAATGAAAGGAGCAGTCTTCAATACAAGTCAACTCATTTTATCATGCAGATTCCTCATTTGTGAACTGAATATATGCATCAATCCAAATAGTAGTTTGTAAGAAAACAATCATGTCAAAATCAAGCTTTAGTTAGGGATTCAATGCGGAAAAATTCACCTTAATGAAACAAACAAATGTCACAGCAAACCTGTAGAAATTCAAAAAACATCGAAATAGACATCCGAGAAACCACCATTATCATTTTCTTTCTTCTTCGCGACCTTTATAAAACCCCAATTATGTTCCCTTCTACTTATAACCTCTTTGCTACCTACTAATTACTAAACATATCATCATTGTATTGCTAGCTAGTAGCATGTCAATCATGAACATAAAATATAATAAACAACCATCACAACTCTTCTTTCTATTTCAACATTCAAGAAATCGGGTTGCAATAGGCATTCAAGAAAAACGATCAATTATTCAATCAAATGAGGTATGTCCTAAGTCCAACCAATGAACCCTTCTAATTATATTTTATATATTTAAATAAAAGTATATGACGACCCTTCTCCTTGAAAAACAAAGAAGAAATACATTCACTCATCGAGAGTGGGAAAATTTACCATCTAGCAGTTATAATTTGGAAAAAATTAAGAAAAGAATGAGAATAAGAGTATAACTCGGCAAGTCAAACGCAAACAATAACGTATCGCTTAGAAAGTGAGACCAGTTGCCAGCTTCAGATCAAGGAGGAAGAGGGAGCAGTCGACAACCCTCAGCTTGGTTCACCTTATCTTCACAATGATCAAATGAACTTTTTTCGTTAACAGGCAAAAATATGTTACAACTGCTCAAAATTTTGTCATCTAATCGTCGCCTCGTGTAACTCCTGCCTCCTATTCTCATACAAAGGAAAAAAAAATCATATGCATTACCATTTTCTTCTCTATAAATTATGAGAATACAAATATTAGAAATCTCAAAAAAAATTAACAACTAATAAAAGGGTTTTTTTTATTTTTATGGTGGTTGAGATACTTTCTTGATTTCTAATTTTCAAAGTTGGATATTATTTCTAGTGAGACAATCAAAATTGGAAAAGGGACAGAAACAAATTAAAAGTTTGTATTAATAATTAATATGTTTTTATTTAATCGGAATAAATAAGAATTTATTTAAAAAATAAAAATTATTCTTCTGTCAAGTTTTTATTCAAATATTTTGCTATAAAATTTATACTTGTTTTATTTGATAGGTATATATATTAGAAAGAAATGAGTGTTTGATAGCAAAAAAACATATAGTCATATCGATCATTTCTCAAAGTCGATTGATTATCAAACGCTTGTTTTCTCTTAGACAATCGTTTATATTTTAATTAATTGAAAATATTATTATTTATGTGTGTGTGTGTGTTTTTTTTTGCTTCATCAAAATATAACTTATTATTAAATTTTAGTAAAAATGAGTAGAAAATTTACTAAATCAACTTGGGTTAAACAAATACGATATATCACTCTCTGTTTCCATCTTTATAGTTTGTTTAATTGAAAAAAAAGATGATTACTTATGTATGTGTTTGTTTGTTTAAATGTTTCCTAAAAAATTAACTTATTTAAATTTTAGTAAAAATGAGTATAATTATTAAAAGAAGAGAGATAGCTTCATAAATAGATCAATAAATAGTTTTTTATTTGTAAAAAAAAAATTGTCCACCTTGGCAACTTGTGCATTCACCAAGTGCTTATGTGGCAAGAAGTTATTTTTGAATAGCCAAAATATTGAGTATAGATAGATAGATAGATAGATAGATAGATAGATACTTGTTTTATTTGATAGGTATATACATTAGAAAGAAGTGAGTGTTTTATAGCAAAAAAAACATATAGTCATATCGATCATTTCTCAAAGTCGATTGATTATCAAACGCTTGTTTTCTCTTAGACCATCGTTTATATTTTGTTTAATTGAAAATATTATTATTTATGTGTGTGTGTTTTTTTTTCTTCATCAAAATGTAACTTATTATTAAATTTTAGTAAAAATGAGTAGAAAATTTACTTAATCAGATTTAATCAGCTTGGGTTAAACAAATACGATATATCACTCTTTGTTTCCATCTTTATAGTTTGTTTAATTGAAAAAAAAAAAGATGATTACTTATGTATGTGTTTGTTTGTTTAAATGTTTCCTAAAAAATTAAGTTATTTTAATTTTAGTACAAATGAGTATAATTATTAAAAGAAGAGAGAGATAGCTTCATAAATAGGTTAATAAATAATTTTTTGTTTGTAAAAAAATTGTCCACATTGGCAACTTGTGCATTCACCAAGTGCTTATGTGACAAGAAATTATTTTTGAATAGCCATAATATTTAGTATAAATAGATAGATTTATATCCGTATACAAGTTGAATGAAAAGAAGAACTCTTTCTTCTTTCTGTTTTTCAATTTCCTACCCAATCTAAACCATTCATATAAGGAGGTTCTCCTCCAAACCCCTCAATTTCACTTTCCCTGGCTTCTGTTCTGCGCATAAAACGAAGGGAGCTTTAGGTCATTACACAATTTTAAAATCACATCACATGGGCCATGGGATAGGAGGACGGAGTAGTCCAGCTTCTCAAATTTTGAAATTTACGTCAAAACATAATTTGGGCCAAATTAATACTGCATCAATGGAACTTATGGAAGGACGTATAAGTCCCTTTTGTATATTAATTTTCCGTGCATAACCTACCTCCCATATCACTTGATGAACTTTTTATTTTGTGTTCCGCAACACTCTAAAATTTAGAAAACTATTATTACAATTAAATATAAAATAATTAAATTATAAATATATTTTTTTATAATTCAGGAACATCCCCCAACACACCACATTTGTGATAGTGGAGTGAGATGACCAAACCTGGGGCAATCTGAACACTCACGCGCTAACAGGGCTTCACACCAGCAGCCAAAGATGCCTCCGGGCCCACCACAGTGGGCCTCGAAGGTGGTCAAATACGGGATCTGGCACTTTCCAGAACGAGCGACCACAAGGATTTCACTGCTAGACTATTTGACCTTTGGCTAATTATCAATATAATTACTTAAAACATGAAATGGAAATATGATATTAAGGTAACTATCAGTTTGAATCTAATGATTGATTAAAGCTCCTAATTCTTTTTCATAGTATTTACACTAATTTATATTTTATCCGATACTAAGTTGACAATTTAAAAAAATATATAAAATCAGGTAAGAACAATACCTCTTCTCCCTCATGTCTTATTAAATGAAGGAATAAAATATTTACAAACGAAAGGGAATGATGTTGAAATTCCACATCAAGTTTAGTGAGTACAACATCAAAAATCACATAACTGAATTAAAAGTTTCGAACATAATCAATGATCTACAAGAACATTTGTGACTAGAATGAGGTGAATTATTTTGTCATGAAAACGATATTTCATATATGGTTATGTTTTGTCTTTGAATTCATTTTGCAAAACATGTACAAAAAGAAGCGCCAGTTGATGATGGAAACTTTACGGTAAAGAAGTGATACCAGTCATCTTGGAATACTTATAATATTATTATTAAATTTATTACGAGTTGAGGAACTTAGTACGATGTAGTAATATGTATGATGGATGCTCATTTTTTATTTTCTCTGCAATGGAATAGTTTGACTTTTTGAATGGTAAAAACTAAGAAACTATCTTCAAATCTTTGTTGATTACTATTATCGTATTACAACCGGTCAACGGGCCGGGGTACAATCTAGTAATCAATAAAGGGAAAAGTAGTAGTGTCGAGCTAGAAACACCAAGGTGGGACAAAATTACTAAACTGGCGTAAGGGAGAAGTCGTAGTGTCTAACTAGAAACACCAAGGTGGGACAAAATTACTGAACTGCTAAACGTCTGCCTATTTTTACTATTATCATCCTAATTAACTTAAAACACAATATTACTTAATTGTTCTTCATTGATCAAACCAAATTCAAATTAAACAAACAACCCCTAAAATCCCCAACTTCCTTCACATCTTTGACCTCCTCTTCAAACATCCTTAGCTCATGGCCTTCTCGCCGTAGTTCCTTCTCCCTCCCCGATTTTATATACATACCACTATAATTTTCATAGGTACCATCCGGGTGGTAGAGTAAAGACTGGTAAAAGTTAGAGCAACAATTAGCAATTCTTTTTTTTTTTAACATCACGCAACATGGCAATGATGGAAAAAATTAAGAATTTTGTGTGTGTATATTGTTCGCGAGAATTTCATCGTTATAACTTGTCAATTATGAAAAATGAAGACTCAAAGATATATCTCTTAATTTTTCTGAGTAGAATAATATAATTAGTTACGTTAAACAAGGTCTCATTACTAGAAACTATTTTTCCTATTGTTATTGGGTACATGAACTAACTCATATATATATATATATATATAGTGGTAACTCCTCAAATGTGGACATTGTGGAGTGAGGTAGTGAAACGACAAATGAGTAATGGAACCAAAGACAAAGACTGTCTCGGTTGGTGGATGTAATGGATTAGTTGAGCTGAGCACCGCAAAGATTGCGAATAAGAGCAACTGGTAAAAGGGCGTTCATGACATGGATATATATTAAGTAGCTAAAAAAAAAAAAGGAAATGGTAGCTCCATACATATATAATGGCATGACCAGATATAACATTTCCCTTCCTCCACACCCACAAAGAGACTCATTTCACCCTACTTTGTACCAATTACACACAACAACAAGGATAGATTCGTTTCAACGCGGAACAAATGATATAACTTATAACCGGCCGCTTTGTGTGAAACAAATTAATTACTTCGGACCACAAATGGAGACCGAACCTTGAAATGTGGGTTGGTCCAAGTTATCCAACCGTACACAACCTCTTGGTTCATAGCATACCCATCCTTGGTGGAAAATCTGACCCTGTAGGAGCACCTTTCTCCATTTCTGGTGAACACCAATCTTGTCGGAAATACCTTGACTTTAACACAAGGCAGTACTTGAGCAGCATCTGATCCTCCCAATTCGACCACTGCCGAGTAGGTCCAGTTACCGTTGCCCGCAACATTGGTCAATACCCTCCGAACCGTCCTGATTTGGTTTGGGCGCCGCAACAGAACCGAAATCGACGGGAAGTTGAGATTGGAGATGAGGCTCGATCTGGAGTTAGGACGACACGAGAAGTTTGAGGACTGTGCGATTTTGGAGATGAACCGTATGGTCTTGGTGTCGTAGCCATAGTAACACATGAAGCGCAGGTAGTGTGTAATCTCCGTCTCGTACACAAGCCCTGGGTTGAGGGATCCCCTTGGATTCACCTCTCCTGCTCCCAAATCATAAGGAGTGGCCTCCTCTCCTGTGTGTGTCGTAATCCGAGATCCCAGGTTGTTATTCGAAAAGGCTAAAACAACAAAAACAACATCTTATTAGTGAAACCAAAGACTGTCTCGGTTGGTGGATGATAAACGTGCGATATATATATAATAATAACTTTTTTTTATGAAATAATTAAGAAGAAAAATGAATATATATATTTCGTTTTACCTGTGGTCATTATCGCGGATTTAATGGCGGATGGGGTGAAAGCAGGGTTAGCGGCCTTGATGTTGGCCGCAACCCCTGAAACATGAGGACACGACATTGAAGTTCCAGACGCGATATTGAATCTCGACTTAGGTCTTCCTTTTGGCTTGTTCGGTGACTCTTCGCCTAACGAAGAAGCGGCAAGGATGTCCACTCCAGGGGCAGTTACGTCGGGCTGCAAAGAAAGTGATGATAACCAAATGTGAATCGGTCAGTCGTTGTAATGGGAAGAAAAAAAGGAAACCAATATCGAGGGAGAGTCATTTGGTTTTTTTGCCTTGATAATGTCGGCCGAGTTGCTCGAAGGTCCCCTGGACGAGAAGAACGCAACTTCCGGTGCTGGTGTATAGTTTCCCACAACTACGGTCGGCAGGATGGTTGCCAAAGGTTTCCTATAGGTGTTACGTTATTAATTAAGTGATGAAGAATCAACTTTAAGTTTGGTCCAAAATACAAATGGGGAAATGAATTAATAAACTTTTGTTGTTGTCTAACTCTAAGCTATTTTATGTACACGTGTGTGTACCTGGTAGTTTTGAGATATGCCATAAGTTGTGCAGCTTCCCTAGAGCCGACCTTGGTGATGGGTACGTCCCATAGGTACTGGGCCACCCTTTTGGATTCGTTATTAGCGATTATTACACCTAATCCACCTTTAACTGCCACCTCGACCACTTGGTTGATAAACTTAACGTCGTTTCCCTCGTCTTTGATATCACAGATCACCAATTTTCCTTGAGTCTTTTTCTTGTTTAGGGAACCGGGTTTGCAACCTCTGTAAATAGAATAAACGGTTTAATTTGGTCACTTGGTTCGTAATTAGTGACATTAATCAACAAGAATTAAAGAAATTAATTTCCGGAAAAAGTAAATGTGTAGAAATCAATAAAGACCACCTTGCCGCACGGAAGGACACATTGCCTGCCTTTGCTGATCGGCCGTCTATCAGCGGGTAGATCGGAGATCCACTCAGATCGGGTAGCCCTATCCATTCACCCTGTTTGTAGAAAATAAAGAAATAAACAAATTAGCAGCTGTCTGTGTTAAAATATAAATTTTTGGAAAATACTAGGATTTTTTTTTTACAAGAATTATATATACATACTTTAAATCGGTAATATATTTTTTCTCGCGGTAAATAATATATTTATTATTTCGGGCGTAAAACCTTTATAACTTTGCCTCCTCCGAGGAGGATGTCGGATCGGAAATCCCTGTCCACGGTAGAGGCAGCCACTGTCACGATCCACGGCGCATCATTAGACATCGTGGACGGCCGGGGCCCGCTGTTTCCGGCTGAACAAACGACCGTGATCCCATGCTCGACGGCATGGAAGGCACCGATTGCCTGTGGGTCCTCGAGAAACTCCTTGAGATGGCGAGAGCCGAGTGACATGGAGATGATGTGGACACCGTCGGCGATGGCATCATCAAATGCGTGGAGGAGGATACGGGACCGGCAATTATCCTCGTCGCAAACTTTGTACACCGCAATCTTTGCAGGCGGCGATCCTCCCCTGGCGGTGCCCGCGGCAAGGCCGTCGTAGAAGGAAGCTTTCTCCACGGTTGCTCCGGCCGCCGTCGACGCCACGTGGCTCCCGTGCCCGTCATAGTCTCTTGGGCTGTCGCTGATGTAGTACCTCGCTCCAACGATTTTCCTTTATATTAAACAATGGCGAAACGAATTTTAGTTATTATAAATAAAAAAATAATTAATTTATTAAGATACGGAAACTAGGACTAGGAGCGAGTATAACAGAACAGAAATAATTAAAATAATTTCTTTGTGACTTGGTGGCTTACGTCCCATGGCAGGCAGTTTCGTTGAAGTCTGCTGCGGTGACGCAGGTGCCCTTCCAGCCACGTGGGACGCTGAGATTGGTTCCTTCGTGTCGAAAGCTTTGGGCTTCGGGCCATATCCCGCTGTCGAAGATGCCTATTACAACGTTGCTGCTGTCGGGCCGTGAAGTGGCCGGGAGAGGAGGAACGGCGTTGGATCCACTGAGGTCTTGGAGGAAGTCCCAGGATCTGGTGGTGTGAAGCTGCAGGTTGGAATCCGGGAAGACCGACACCACTCCTGGTTGGGCTGCTATGGACTCCACCTCCTCGGCTGAGAGACGGGCCGCGAAGCCCGATAGCCCATGATTATATGTGTTTAAAATGTCCATCTCCTGCCTCCCCCCGCTGTAAGAGAGAGAGCCCAAAATCTTAAGAAATTAAGTTAAAACACAAGTATGAATGAATATTGTCCGATAAACAAAATCACCTCTGAAGTAGGGAGCCGAGAACCGCTTCTTTCATGGCCAAGTTTGTTGGGTTTGCAGCCCCCATATACACTATGTAAACATCATCATCATCGGATTCGGAGGAAGAGCCTGAACTGCGGCGGCCAAATTGGCTGCCGGAGGTGGTCGTGCTAGCAGCAACGACAACAAGAGGATTGTTGAAGTGATGATAACCCTCAACATTTTGGTGTGTGACATTTGGAGCCAAGTATTAATGAAGAGGAGAGTAATATTGATGCGGTAGTGAAGTGAAATGTACCTTTGTATACGTAGCCTATTTATAATAAGAGCTGACTGTGCGAGGGATGAAGTTATGGACAGATGACAGATCAGAAGGTAATCGGAACTAACTAGCTAACTGGCGTAACCCTGCTTTATTTTTCTCTAGCTAGGGTGCGAAACTCATGATGTATATAAGCAGAAAATTGGAGTTGAGGCTTTTTACTAGCTCCAGATTTCATGCCGTGTATATATACAAGGATAGGAAGATGCGTGCGGATCTCACCGGCTCGCCCGCCCACATGCGCGCGGTCTGTGTTTGTTGGAAACTGCATGCAGCATACGTACTTGCATGATGTATGCTTCTCACGGGGAATTTGCTTTGCCTGATGAACTATACCTACTTACTTGCATAGGTAGCTCATTCCTTAACAAACACAACAACTATATGTATGAGGTATGTTATATTTAGTAGTTATAACAACCATTCGTGCAAACCCTGCAAAATGTTGCCAAGTTAAAGAAACCAAAAGGGCCTATAAAATTACTTTTAAGGATGATGCGTAATCGATCGATGATATGCAATATATATTTGTTTGTCATGGTTCATTGTGAAAAGAATGTTGCATCGTAACTTGATTAGCGTCACATCCTCGAGGATAATTAAATTTTTCATTGGTACTTGATGTACTCTTAATAAAAAAATTCTCTTAAACAAGATCTCGTCACTATAAACTAATTTCCCCTTTGTTATTGGGTATACGAACTAACTCATATGCGGTGGCGGATCCATGGGAATGGGATGCCTCTAAAATTTGGAGAGAAAAATTATTATTAAACTTCCAAGAGTAGTTTGGGTATGAGTGAAAACATATTTAAGTGGTAATGGGATAATTTTAAAATATAGAAAAATGATTATACAACCCCCGGTAGTAGTTTGCGGATAGCAAAATAAAATAAATTTAAGTGGTAGCCTATCTATTTTGAACTTCGGTCACTATTACTATTAGTATAAATATTTTTCATTAGACTACAACTCATTCGTTTTGTATTTGAAATCCAAATATAATAGTTAAAACTATTCATTATCTCCAATTATTTTTAAAAGCTAATGATTAAATCCAATTATGGGCTTCCCTTGTCAAGTAGGATATATTGAGACAAATTTGTAGAATAGTGTTAGACACCGAATGTATTTTATAGTTTTTACTTTTTTCATAATATGAAACACGTCGTGTGCTTTTGTTGTACTTTGTACAAGTCGGATATTTTCTATTTAAAAATTATTAAATCATTTAATTTAATTTCATCTTTTGAAGAGGAAACCCCTATGTAAAATTTCTAAGTCCACTTCTCATGGTATTTTCCTAAAATGGGGAGTGAGGTAGTAGGTGAAATGAGCAGCATCTCCTCCCAATTCGACCACTGCCGAGTAGGTCCAATTACTGCAGAAAGGCTGTCACAGTAAATGGTGTGTGGTTGCTGAGGTTGAACGGGTAGCTGGGTGAACAGGGCTGTCATCCACTGGAGTTCTTGAGATGTATCGGCTAAAGCTCTGCACTCTGCCTCGGCTGAAGATCTGGAAATGATTTGCTGCTTCTTGGAACGCCAGCTGGTGAGTGAATTGCCTAAGAAAACACGGAAACCTGTTACTGATCTGCGAGTATCAGGGCAACCAGCCCAATTAGAATATGAAAAAGCAGTCAGAGGAAGACAGTAATTGGAGGGGAAGAACAATCCACGCGCAGGAGTGGTTTTGAGATATAGCAACAATCTATGAGTAGCTTGTTCATGGACTGTAGTAGGAGAATCAACAAATTGACTAAGTTGATTAACAATGTAACAAATATCAAATATCAGGTTGTGTAGTGCATAGATACTAAAAACGACCAATCAAAGTTCTGTAACTACTGTGGTATGTTTCATTTAATGGAGTTCCATCTTTAGCAGATAAATGTGTGCCAGGGATAGATGGTGTAGTAGTTCATTTGGATGCTAAGAATCCTGTATCAGACAATAAATCGATTGTGTATTTCCTTTGACACAAGTGAATGCCACTGTCAGACCTGGAAACTTCCATGCCAAGGAAGTATTTGAGAGGTCCTAGATCTTTAATTGTAAAAGCAAAATCTAACTGATGTTTTACATGTTTTATTTCTGCCATGTCATTTCCAGTTAAGATGATATCATCAACATAGACAAGAAGGGCAGTAAAAGATTTGTTGTGTTGTTTTGTAAACAAAGAGTAATCACAGTGTGATTTTTGATAACCTAGGCAGCTAGGCTCTCTAATGTGGCTGCAAGTTTAACAAAACACTGTCGGCTAGCTTACTTGAATTCGTCAAGAAAATTTACGATGGCAACTGGAATTCGTCACTAAGAATGACTTTTAGTAACAAATGTGTATGTCGTCAGTAATATTTTGTCGCTAGTAGTATATTTTTTGACCACTACTAAACCATTGTAAGTAAAGTTAAAATTATTGTCACTAAAATTCCAACTTTTGTACAGATTAATAAGCTCTCAGGGAAGTTCCTTTACATGGAAAAGCTTTTCTAAAGCTGTTAATGTGTTAAAGCAGGGATGTGCCTGGAACATTAAGAATGGGAAGCGCACTAAGTTTTGGTTGGATCCTTGGGTTTTGCAGGGGAGCTTGAAGGAGGTGGCTACGATGAAAGTTGCTGAGGACATGGAGCAAATGACGGTTGCTGAGTACGTGACAGTCGATGGAGCTTGGCGCACAGACATGTTCGAGGACCTTCCGCCTACCGAGATATGCCAGAAGATTCTCAGCGTGGCTGTTGACACGCTCTCTAATGAAGAGGACACTCTCTTCTGGGCCGCTTCCCCGGATGGGAAATTCTCAACCAAGTCGGCCTTCACCCTTATCACTCCGCAGCCGCATGACTCGGACGAGAAGATTTGGAGGACGATCTGGCGCCTTCCAGTCCCGGAGAGGATCCGTGTTTTCATGTGGCAGATGTGCACCGGGAAAATTGCCACTAACAGCCTTCGTTTCCACAGGAAAGTAGCTGCGAACCCTTTCCGTCCGAAGTGCCCGGGGTCACCAGAGACGATCTTGCACACCCTCAGAGACTGCCCTCAAGCTACCTTCTTTTGGCTTCGGCAGATCGCAGGTTTGCAGCAACAAGACTTCTTCACTCTCAACCAGGAAGACTGGCTGCGCAACAATCTCTCGAGGACGGATGCAGTGGCGACAGGGATGCCTTGTCCTGCTTTTTTCAGTACGGCGCTTTGGCTCATTTGGAAAAACCGGTGTGTTATCTGTATGCAGGGTACTGGAGCAGCTCTCACCCCTCCCTCTCTTGAGCACTCGATTTTAGCCAAGGCAAAGATATAGTACAATGCTTGGCTCGCCCCTTCTCTTCTTCCCTGTAAAGGAAGTCGACCTGCTGACAGAGTGGAGGAGGAGGTGGGGTGGAACCCACCGCCAGAGGGATGGATCATGCTGAATACTGATGGAGCCTCCAACGGCAATCCTGGGCCAGCCGGGGCTGGGGGTGTGTTACACGATCAGACGGGGTGTTGGATTGCAGGTTTTGTCGTCAATCTTGGCACTGCCACTGCGATTCTCTCGGAGCTTTGGGGAATCACCTTCGGCCTGGACATCGCTTGGAAGCACGGAGGAAGAACCATCCACATCAAGACTGACTCGCAGCTGGCGTTGCAGCTCATTAAGGCTAGACATGACCCGATTCATCCGTATGCTACTCTCCTCTCCGCTATTCGCAGGAAGCTTAACCGCGAATGGCTTGTTCGCTTAACGCATACCTACCGGGAGGGGAATAGAGTCGCGGACTGGCTCTCGAAGCACAGTCTCGTCTATGCCTACGGTATGCATGAGTTAACGAACCCGCCTTCAGGAATTAATTACCTGCTCAGAGAAGACATGATAGGCACCACCAGCACCCGCAGGGTGGTTGCTACCTCTTCCTCTCCTATTCTCACCTCCCCCATGTAACTCTCTTTTTCTTGGCTTTTAGCCTCCCCTGATGCAAAAAAAAAAACTAATTTTCTCGTGATTAATGGTGTAAGTTGCTGACGACAAAAAAATGAGCACTGAAAAAGTTATGATCTTAACTTGAAAAATTATTTATGACGATATTATTACCTTCATTGGTAATCTACTATTACTCTCTTTATGATCAACATTTTCTTAGTCTACTATGACAAAAAAAAAAAAAAAATCTTTGCCCGCGGTATAATGAAATACTCAATGGTGAACTCATCTATTTGAAAGAACGGTTACCGCCATCACATTTGCGACGAGCATATTCTTTCACTAACAATCATCATTATTGACAGAGGAGGTCGTCACAAAATGCACTAAACCATCGAGCGCAAACCATGACCTTAGTCTGAACCCAAAACAACATAATTACTAAACCTTGTATCCGTACCTAAACTTTAAAATTTAACCCATGTACATAACCTAATATCATGTTGTTCTAAAATCGATACCTTGTTATTCTGAAACCTTATGCCATATACTTCAAACCTTATACTATACTGTAAACCGTAATCCCAAACACTATACCATATGCATTACTATAGAATTCATATCCTCTACTAATTCAATGTGTTCGTTAATGACGAAGAAACCTTGTTTTATGATATATAAAAAAATTGTAGAGAGAAATCATCTCACGGTTATAAAGAGAAATCATAAAATAGCTGAAACAAAAAGTGGCCCATAAATTGCGTCATTTTGCTAACATAAATCCAAAGGCCTAATTCCAGAACCTTTAGAGAATCTCAACCCTTTATTTTTTACATTTCAATCTAAGCCATCCATTTTTCCTTCACCAAAAACCCTACTTCCTCTTCAATATACTTCTAGCCGCAATGACCTTATCTTTCTCTCTTCATATATCTACAGTTGGTCGAGAAACTCTCTACTTCTCTATCTCTCCGCTACAAGCTCTTCTCAAACAACTGCTTCCGGTTCTTCTCCATTCTCTTTTGTATTGGCCACAGTACAACAGGAGCGGATCAGGTCAGTAACTCAT